TCTATCTTGGAGACTTTTTATTCCAAGTGCTCTATATGGAATTGTGATTTGGGGGTCTGGACCCAAGCTTAAAGATCTAGAAATGATTCACATCAGGGCTGCTAGGCTGATTCATAAGTTACCAAATAGTTTTAAGGATAGTGATGTACTTTCTAAGGTTGGCTGGGTGCCTTTAGGGTATTTTTATAAGCTCCGTATCTTAACTATCACATATAATGCTTATTATAATCTAGGGTTGCGGGAAATTAATTGTTTGGTGACCAAGAACTCTAACAGCTATAACTTAAGGAAATCCCTGAATGTTGTACTTAATAGGCCCAAAACTGAACTGGGTCATCGGTCCTTTGCTCATAGATCTGCAGTAGCATGGAATTCACTACCAGATAATCTTAAAGATTCTCCAAATTTGTCTATTTTTATATATAACTTAAAACAATCCAAGCAAACTGTCAGGAATATTAATTTTGAGAAGGGAGATGTTATACATGACATGAAACCAAATTTTCACTATTACTAAAATTTCACGGTTTACTTAATTTATTCAACTTATAAATTGTATCATAATGGTATTTTATATAATTATAGACTAACTACTTAGGCAGGTCCACATCAGCTGTAAAGTTGCGTAAATTTTTAACCTGCGTTATCAAATAAAATTATGTATGTATGTATGTAATATCTGTTGAACAGTAGGGGGCAAAACTTCGAGAACAATGGAAAAACACCATCGCAAGGGTATCCTTCTTCCCTGAATTATTTGTCAGGAGGGTAGAGACGACTAAATTGCATGGATAATCATCATAAATAAAAGACTGGTGTAATTGCATTTAACGCTGAGCATTAGTCAATGTGTTGTAAATACCCTCAGGCCACAGACATGGTGACGATCAGAAGTCAAAACACCTTACACTGAATTCAATTTTTTTGTCAAGAAACTCGAGGTAGTTTGTGGCTGATAGGGCTCAAGAATAATAAAATCTTATAAGGTAAATGAAAGAAAGAGAAGGGAGAATGTTCCTTCATATATCTCTCAGATGCTCCTTCAGTCGGTAAACATTACATATTCGTCGGATTCAATTGCAAATTTGCAGACAAATATCAAAGTAGGTCAAACTACAGACTGTACATAGGTAATATTCCTTTAAATTCTAACAAATGACAGAACTGAATTTTCGTTCATGAGATGGACCTAGGTATTTGCTCTTTCAATTTCAGGTGATCATTGATTATTTTCAAAGGAAATAACAGGAGGTAAATACGCATCCGATCTAAACAATAATATGATAACCATCATGAAAACGTGCTTTTCAATTTTTTATTAAAATCAACTTGACGTGCAGAGGAGTTTCATGAGAGCATGGTTGAAAGGCATCATGATACTATAACGAGTTTTGAGTAAGTCGAGCGAATAGTCCATTTTACAGTTGTGTGCTTGGTTGCCAAGCCTTTGAATGGGAGTGAGGCTAGAGATGACCTTGTTATGATACAAACCTTGCTGCCTTTCAAATGTAAATCACTTTGTTATCATGCTAACTAGATACATGTCTCTATCACAACAAGGTCATCTTTATAATTTGGATATATCAACAAAGTTGAAATGGTAAATTGGCCACCGTAATGATTACAAAAGCTGACGTTTCGAGCGTTAGCCCTTCGTCGGAGCGAATAGAGGAATTGTGGGTTGTGTGTGTTTTTAAAGGCAGAAAATGGAGCTACGTTATTGGTGGGTGCATGGCAACGAGAAAAACATGAATAAATTAGTGGAATGAAAAGCGTTCATTGATCCCTGTGGGATTTAGACTGCCGGTTTGAAAGATGAGCTTTTGTTCAAGATTTTTACGGCTTTCCGTGCCACCTAAGTGCAAGGAAAGACCGCAGATTGCCATATGTTGCTTAGAATGATTAGGTAAATTAAAATGTCTAGCGACTGGTTTCGATGTGTCCTTGTCATTCCTTTCCACGTCTCGAAGGTGTTCTCGGAATCGGTCACCTAGTCTTCTGCCTGTTTCGCCGATGTATATCTTTTTGCAATAAGTGCAAGTTATGCAATAGATTACATTAGCGGAGGTGCACGTGAAGTGATCGGTGATCTTAATGGATCGTTTAGGTCCCGATATTTTATCAGTGTTGTGAATGAAAGGACACGTTTTGCATCGTGCACGAGCGCATTTAAAAGTGCCTGGTTGCTCATTAGTCTGAAAAGAACTTCTGACCAAAAAATTGCCTAAGTTTTTGTCGCGTTTGAATGAAATGAGCGGAGGCTGCGAAAAGATAGTGC